CTTCCTGGTCACTAGATGGCTGTAGCAGCAGGAAACATCACATCTTTCCACAACTCTGAAAGGGGTTAGGAGAATTTACCTCTTCTTTATACTCTTTTTGGCGAGAGAAGAAAGCTCCCAGGTGATTTCCCCTTGTTTCTTATTGGGCAGGATGGTGTCACATGACCATTCCTAGATCAGTCACCGAGAATTGGAATAGAATAACCATAATTGGTTTAGACCAATCAGGATTCACCCACTAGGGCTGGAGAAGGACTTAACCTTCCCTGAAACTGGGGGCAGTTTGATTTCTGAACAATATCCAAGTTCTGTTGTCAAGGGAGGAGGGAACAAATGGCTGTTGGGTAGCAGCCAATAATTGTCTGCCATAACATCCCATTAGGAAATATACTGAAAACCCAAATCAAAAAAATTCCAAGGCTGCCTCTTTTGGTATGGCCTTGGCCAAGTCACTCAACCTCTCTGGGCCTTAGTTTCCTTATTTGTAAACTGGAGATAGTGATATCTGCCTTACCTACCTTACAGAGTTGTGGAAAAGGATATATGAAACGTAAAACAAAAGTACTTAAAACTTAACAAAGTACTTTACTAATATCAAGGCTTCTTATTAATTTAATTCTTAGAAATGAGCACCAGGCATCTGGATGGCTTAGTTGGTTAAGTTTCTGACTCTTAGACTCTTAATCTCACAAAAAAACCTCAGGGTTACTAGGGTAAGGGGGTTAGGGAGAGGGTGGTTGGATTATGGACATTGGGGAGGATGTGTGCTATTGTGAGTGCTGTGAAGTGTGTAAACCTGGTGATTCACAGACCTGTACCTCTGGGGCTAATAATACATTATATGTTAATTTGAAAAATTAAAAATAAATAAATAAACTTCTGGGGCACCTGGGTGGCTCAGTGGGTTAAGCCTTTGCCTTCAGCTCAGGTCATGATCTCAGGGAACTGGGATTGAGCCCCAGTGGGGAACCTGCTTCCCCCCACACCCCGCCTCTCTGCCTACTGTGATCTCTGCCTGTCAAATAAATAATCTTAAAAAAAATAAATAAACTTCTAAAAAAAAAAATTTCTGATTCTTAATCTCAACTCAGTTCTTGATCTCAGGGTCATGAGTTCAAGCCCCATGTTGGGCTCCATGCTGGGTGTGGAGCCTACTTTAAAAAAAAAGAAAAAAAAAAAAGAAATGAGCATCACCAGGCCCTCTGTGTAAAGGTAGGAAATCAGTAAAACCTAAATTCTAAGAAGTGTCTTTGGTTTAGTTATTCTCTGAGCTTTGGTTTCTTTGCCAATAAAATTGGGACAATAATAAAAATAGTGCTTCCTAGGATTTTTATAAGAAGATAATGAATATGAAGCATTGAGCACATTCTTAGCACATAGTAGTTGCTTAGTGTCAGCTATTAACTTTGCAAATATTGTGTCTTGTTTGGATTAATTGGGGACAAAGGGATAATTATCTGAGCTTCTCTTGACTCATAAGAAAAAGTATGGACTTGGGGTCCTTATGTACTTAAGAGTGTCTGAGTCTTGGGTTTGAGATTTTTGGTGCTTTAAGTATTTAGAGGAGCAAGACATGCTTGTAATTGGAGTGAGCAAAGAAGACTTATTGGCAGAGGTGGGGCTGAGCCAGAGTTTCAGGTTTGTATTCCATTGGAAAGTTTATTTTGCCCTGACTTTGCCTCTTTTTTCTAACTTTGGGTTTTCTCATTTTGTTAGACCTTTTGTTTTATTGGCTATATTATGATGAACAGAGATTCTGCTTTTGACTGTATTCTCTTGCAGGTCCATGTGAACTGGAGAAGGTCTGACATCCCTGCTCAGGAGAAGGCAGTGCTGGAGTTGGCACTTGCTATTTCCCAAGCTGATGACATAACAGATGACCATTTCAAAAAGCTAGAGATGCATGGATTCAGTCAAGAAGATGCTTGGGATTATCACTGCCATTTCAGCTTTATTTGCCATGTCCAGCTGCCTTCCTCATTTTGTTGATCTTGTTCACAGCAAAGAATTGTGTTTGATGTGCAGAACCAACGATGTCAAAGATATCAAGTGTAAATCAGCTGCTGCTCCCAAAGTATAAAAGCCTAAACAGAAAGGAAAATGTTTGTATTTCAGGCATACTACATTACTTGGGAAGTAATTGTTTAAAAACACCTAGTCATGGGTGCCTGGGTGGCTCAGTGGGTTAAAGCCTCTGCCTTTGGCTCAGGTCATGATCCCAGGGTCCTGGGATCAAGCCCCGAAACGGGCTCTCTGCTCAGCGGGGAGCCTGCTTCCTCCTCTCTATCTGCCTGCCTCTCTGCCTACTTGTGATCTCTGTCTGTCAAATAAATAAAACGACAACAACAACAAAAAAACATATAGTCAGTGGATAGGGAAGAAAGTAAATGAATTTGCTCCCTGCCTGCTCAGTGAGATAGATCCCAAAGTGTTGGGAGTATCCAGGGACATGTGATACCTGGGCCTACAGGAAATGTTTGTCAATTGTTTCCTTGTGTTGTGATCTAAAAGGAACATTAGGGCAAAGACGTTTAGAGGATGCTTTCCTGATGAACTGATATCTATGAAGTTGAGCTGCTGAAGTTGAGAATTTTTTAACATTTGAAAATAGTGTTACATAGAAATTGGTCTATATGGACTGTAATTTGCAGTCAGTTCCTTGTTAACACGACATGATTGTATTTAAAAGCTCTCAAGGGGTGCCTGGGTAGCTCAGTGGGTTAGGCCTCTTCCTTCAGCCCAGGTCATGATTTCAGGGTCCTGGGATCAAGCCCCACATCAGGCTCTCTGCTCAGCGGGGAGCCCGCTTCCTCCTCTCTCTCTGCCTGTTGCTCTGTCTACTTGTGATCTCTCTCCCTCTGTCACATAAATAAATAAAATCTTAAAAAAAAAAAAAAAGGCTCTCAAAGACAGTGGGTAAATAGGAGCAGTCAGAGCTAATCCATCTTTAGTGCCTTTTCAGTTAATTTCCAGTAAATTTTTATTTTGTTTATTTTGCTGATGGGTTGGGTTGTAAAGTCATGATCATCTCAATAGAATTTTAGCCCTTATGGTAATTTATTATTTTAGCTTTTAGCAAAAAATATTTGGTAAGTGAGGACTCACATTTTAAATAGAAGCATAAGAAAAAAAAACCTTGGCATTACTGAATGTCTCATTCTATGTTACAGCTGCGACTGTCTTTTTTGGTTATCTTCTTAATAATTCTCATTATCTGATAGAGGTACATGCAAACCTACAAAATGTTTTCTTCCCATTTGGCTTCCAGATTCTCTAAATTGTTAGTGAACATTTCTTAATCAGTTTTGGAACTATACTGTGTTAATTTCAAATTGCGTCAACTCTGAAGTCTGATTTTCTTGAAGCAGCACAAAATTTCATTGCAGAGCTTGTGTTTTTCTGTTGGAATTATATCTTAAATACCTTGGAATATGTAACCTTTAAGAATTTTTTTTTACCTATTAAAAATTAATAATATTGGTGAATGGTCATTGTTTTATAGAGCATAAAATTTCAGCCATTGGTCATAACTTCGGGGTCAAGCAGAGGACGTCTATTAAGTTTTTGTGGGGGCAACATCGAGAATATCTCCAGAGGAATGGCTGCTATTCTGAACTCAAGATGCTTGCTTCTTGCCCTTTTTTCATTCAGCTCATATACTAGAGAGCCGAAGAACAACTAACTTTCCTAATGGGAAGACCTGCTGAATGTTCAGCCCTCTGAATCTCATTCCTTTACTGTAGAGATCCTTCAGATCTGTCCTCACAGGATAGCTCTTCCTGCAAAGATCCTCCAGGTTTATCCTCAATCATCAGATGTGAGCTTTCTACAACATAGCTCTTGATCAAGGCCTGGAAGAATTGTCAGTTCTTCTATCTACCTTTCCTTGTACCTCGAGCTTTCCTTTATTGAAGACTCCTTCCCTTCCCAAGAACCACCCCAGATCCTGTTAAACCCCCCCCTTTTTTTTTTTAAACAAACGAGTTCTATATACTGATCTTTACCAGCACTGGTGAAGGGCCTTGTATCTGTCATGCTCTCTGTGCCCTGCCTGGTACGTATAAGCAGGATTTGCCCTTGGGCTCTGTTGTTCATAAGGTTGATTTGATTTAGGTCTCCAGCTCCACTCAGTGACTCCTCCTGCTGGATACATGCTCGTTCTTGAAGAGAGGACGACTTTGGCCGTATAAAATCTTGACCTACTGGCCAGGAGCTGGGAGTTGAACAGATATTCAGGGGGCACCAATAGACCCCATTTTCCAGGCCCTGTATAGACTTGGTGTTTATTTTTCCTTTACTATTATTTTTTTAAGATTTTTTTTATTTGAGAGAGAGCGAGCAAGGGGGAAGGGCAGAGAGAGAAACTAAAACGCACTCCCTGCTGAGCCCAGGGCGGGGCTTGATCCCACCACCCTGAGATCATGACAGCTGAAATTGTGAGTCCCACACCTAACTGATTGAATCACCCACGTGTCCCAGGCCTAGGCTTTTAGCACAGTAGTGAACCTGAGTCCTTAGACTCCCAGCCTGAGTAGGCAGTACACCTTGCCACTTACTATGTGGGCCCTGCACCTAGTATGGTAACTTCTAACCCCTTTTGACCTTAGCCTAAGTTGAGGATAACATTATCATAGTTCACCCCTTTAACTCTTCAGGCCCACTCGTCCCTAGGCACGCAGTTATGATGACTCACAACTACCAACTGTCCCAGGAGTGCCCTAATGGTACCACCGCCCCGTGCAGCCCGAGCCCTGGGCATTCTCCGGGGCGCTCAAATACAGCTGGTCATTGCCGGTCAAAGTCCCTCCGGGATAAAGCATCCGCGGTGGGCGGTGTCCCCGCTTTCGCGGTCCCCAACGGATGGTAGCCAAGGGCGGCGCGTGTTTCCCAGCCGGCGGGGTTAGGCGGTCGCACGCCGGAAGTGGCGGCTGGAGCGGGAGAGCTGAGGTGTCGGCCGGCGGGGCTGCGGCCGGGAGCGGGGGGGGGCGGGTGCGTTGGTCATGTTTACCTTCGGGCCCGGTAGTCCCGAAGGGGATGGGACGGCCGGAACGGGGGATGAGGAGCCGGCACCCCGTGCGGGGCAGGTGGCAGCCACCGGGCCGCTCCCCTCCCCGCCCGCGCCGCCGCAGCCCGGGGCTGACGCAGCCCCTCCCCCGTCGCCCTCCCGGAGCCCTCGCCGCCCCGGGGCACCCTCGCTGCCCCTGCCGGCGCGCGCTGGGGAGTTCGGGCCGCCTGGAGCTCTAGACTCCTCAGCTGCTTCCGCCCAGGAAGAGCTGTCACCAACCTCCCCGCAGCGCCGGCGACCCGGGCCAGATTGCAGGGCCGGGAGCCGGGGCCGCCACGGCCTCGGCGCCGGCCTTGGTGGCCCCGGAGCCCGGCTGTTCGGGTGGCTGAGAGAGCGCAGCCTGGGCCGCGGACTGTTCGTGGACCCGGCGCGGGACAATTTCCGCACCATGACTAACCTCTATGGTTCCATCCATCCCGCGGACTCGGTGTACCTCAGCACCCGCACCCATGGCGCGGTCTTCAACCTCGAGTACTCGCCTGACGGGTAAGCGTGGCCCCTCGAAGCGGGGGTACCCGCCTCCGCCTGCCTCTGCTGCCCGTGGGCGGCGGCCCGGGTTGGGGGCAGCCGGCCTGCAGGTACCCCAGCACTTTCTGAAGCGCTCTGTGGCTGTTGGAGGTTCCGGCCCGGCCCTTGGAGGTAGGCAGGCCCGGGACTCACTTGGGCGCCTCTGTGAAGCAGAAATGCCTAGGGCCTGCCACCCAGCAGGTCTGCCAGAGCCAAGCCAGAGCTAGGCTTCTCTGGTACACAGCACGTACCCAGCAAATACATTCTGAGTAATTACTTATTCTTTCCCTGTCATCCCGGGATTGCTTTTTTCTCAGCGAAGCTGCTGGTAAGCGTAGGAAGCCTGCAGGTTCCACGTACTCTGTGCCTGACTTACCTTGAGGGTTGACAAGTGTGCGTTCCTCTGCCCCTGAAGGATACTGAGACGCTGCAGAGAGGTGTCTTATTATGTGGGGCATTTGTGAACACCCCAGATTAGACTACGTGCTTCTGTTAGGGTGTCCAGCCGTTTTCCTGACTGATTTAATAGTTATGTTTGGTCTCGGTTTACTTTGTGTTATGGGGAATTCCAGAATAATGTGTATTTTTAAAACTTTGCTGAGTACACGAACAACAACAAAGGAAAAAATTTATACACAGTGCTACCCTGAGAAGATAGTATAACTCTTACCTGATCAAGGACTTGGGATTCTAGTCATTTGCTTAGTTGATTTATTCATTCCCTCATTCAGCAAATATGTGTTGAGCACTTGCTGTGTTACAGATGCGGAGGTTGCCGTGGTGAGCAAAACCAGTCAATGGCACCACTTTTATTAAGCTTGGGATTTATTGGTTCAACAAGATATTAATAACCATACTAAATATTTCATAATGTATATTTATAAACTGAGATAAAGGCTTGAAGGAACCAGTTGTATACTAGGGTGTTTGAGGTTTCCCTGAAGAAATGGCATTTAACCAAGAACAGAAAAAATGAGTAGAAGATGAATTAACCAAGGTAGGGTGGGGGAGGGGATAGAAGTATTTCAGATGGAGGAAATAGTATGTCAAAGAAGCTATGGTTGAAGGGCCACTATGTCATGTTAGAGAAGCTGAAAAATGATGGCGTAACAAAGCAATATATTTTGCTAAAGAAAAACCTGAAATATGCTGAGAAAGGAGAAAAGTAGCAGAATATGAAATCACGGTGAGAAGTTGTATCATATTCCATCTCACTGATGCATATGCATCTTCCTAATTATACTTGGTGCTGGGGTTTCTACTTAGAGCAGTTGCTTGGAACCTGTAGCAATGAATGTGCATCTGAATACAGGTAAGGAGGAGAAACTATTGCAGTTTATTCATGTAACATCACCTCCACAGTTCTCTCTCCAACACAACCCTGTTCCTAAAGCTCCTCAAAGTACCAAGAATCTGTTCCTGATAAACATTTGGTTCCTTTCTTCTCCATACCCCAACTCCTCTTCTCCCACCCTCCTACCTGTTCTGTCAGGCTTTTAGAAGTAGCTAGCTGTTTCTGCCGTTTGGAAGTGAGATTTTAGGTACATGATGAGAGGGGCAGAATGAGTTCTAAAGAAAGAATTCCCATCGCCAGTGCTATTAGAATGAGGAATATATTACTGATAGTTCTGTTTGAATCTGGACAATTATTATCCCCTACAAACATTTTTGTAAAAAGTATTTAGGTACTCTGGTACTTAAAATAGTTTAGTAATGTAAATAATAATAATAATTCAATATTGTTTAATTTGCAATTGATACATACTCTAGAAAACCTAGGCAATAAATGAGCAAAAAGGACCTAAACATCACTTATAATCCCAGAAATTAAATGGCTATCCAAGGAATTTTTTGTGTGTATATGTTTTTTCTTTATTTCTTTATATTTTAAAGGTTTTATTCATTTACTTAAGTAATCTCTACACCCAGTGTAGGGCTCAAACTCATGACCCTGAGGTCCAATAACATGCTCTTGCAATTGAGCCAGCCAGGCACCCCTGCGTGTGTTTTGTTTTGTTTTTTTAAGTTTTTATTTATTTATTTGACAGAGATCACAAGTGGGGGGGGGAGCAGGCTCCCCACTGAGCAGAGAGCCCAATGCGGGGCTGGATTCCAGGACCCTGGGATCATGACCTGAGCCGAAGGCAGAGGCTTTAACCCACTGAGCCACCGAGGCACCCCGCGTATGTTTATTTTAATGTAAATGTGGAATCATATTATTTTGTTGCCTGCTTTTTTTTTATACAATATATTGTAAATTACCTACGTTAATGTATTTTTACATTATTTAACATTTTTCATTAGTTTAAATAAAACCTCTATAAACAAAATTTTTAGATTTATGCCCTCAATGATAATTCTCTAGAATGAGTGAAAAGTTATGAAGATTTTAGATACCTATTATTAAATTGCCCTCTGTGAAGATTTTACTAGTTCTCATTCTTATCACACACATATGAAAGTGCCTATTTCCCCGTACTTTCGCCAACATTACACATTGCCATTCTTTTTTTTTTTTTTTAAGATTTTATTTATTTATTTGACAGACAGAGATCACAAGTAGGCAGGCAGAGAGGCAGGCAGAGAGAGAGAGAGGAGGAAGCAGGCTCCCTGCAGAGCAGAGAGCCCGATGTGGGGCTCGATCCCAGGACCCCGGGATCACGACCTGAGCTGAAGGCAGAGGCTTTAACCCACTGAGCCAGCCAAGCGCCCCGCACATTACCATTCTTTTCCATTTATGCCAAGGTGATACATGAAAATAGTTGTGTTACAATTTTTTATTATTCTTACTACATCTACTGATATGCTCCAGATTTTTATGGGACTTAATTGTATGGAAAGACAGACATCTGTGTTAAATGAGATAATTTCTTACATCCTTCAGTTATATAGGTTATATCAGCTTACTGGGTACCATTATCACTGTGATTTATAAGGACTTCTCAGTACAGAGAAAGAGAAGTGACATAGAAGGTAAGAATTAAAGTTATGAATTTAGTAGAGACCAGACTAGAAAAAATTTGGCACTAAAAAGGAAATGAAAGGATACATGAAGTAGAGGTAATTTCTAAGAATTCAAAAAATATTTTACAGAAACAGTTTTATCAAAATAAGTGTATCATCTCAAGATAACATTTTGAAAAGTGAAATTCGATGTTAATAGATTAGTTAATAATATATGGGACTTTGTCGAGGTATCCTTTATGAAAACACATTAGGCACTGCTCTAGAGGGAAGTGGTGTACTGGAAAATAGAAATGAAGAAATTACCTAGAATGGAGATAAGAAAGATACAGAGATTGAAAATATGAAGGAGGTTTAGTGACATGGAGCATAGAGAGAAAAGGCATACTATATGTTTGGTCAGCTCCTGAAGAAAATGAGATAGATAATGGGTAGAAAAAATTTTGAAGAGATAATAGCTGAGAACTTGACGAACTGAAGAAAGTCACCACACCATGATTTAAAAGGCCCATCAGATCTTAAGCAGAAATCCTTTCTAGACATACAGTGACTCCAGAACAACAAGTATTAAAATCTTAAAAGCTAGCCAAAAAAGACCTCAAAGGCGTAATTATGAGAACAATAATCAGTCACCAATAATAGTGCAAATCAGAAGTGATTATTTTCAGTATGCTGGGAAGAGCACTGCTAATCTAGATGTCTATACCCATCAAAGATGGGTTCTTCATTTTTGTCAGAATTGAAGATGAAATAAATACATACACAAGCACAGCCCAGTGGGTTTGCCGCCAGACCTTCGATAATGGAATTCTACATTTACAGGGAAGAGTGTTCAACTGGAAGGTCTGAGATGGTAGAAAGAATGAAGAACAAAGAAAGTGGGAAATAAGTATGTGAAACTAAATCTTATTTCAGTTTTGTCTTTTGCAATTAACAAAGCTAGAAAATAATTATGAAGGGATGTTCTAAATTTCTCGCTTCAGGGAGTATTTGACATATTAACTGTAGGTTTTATTTATTTTTAAAGATTTTATTTATTTATTTGACAGAGATCACAAGTAGGCAGAGAGAGGAGGACGCAGGCTCCATGCTGAGCAGAGAGCCCGATGCAGGGCTCCACCCCAGGACGCTGGGATCATGACCTGAGCCGAAGGCAGAGGCTTTAACCCACTGAGCCACCCAGGTGCCCCTAACTGTAGGTTTTTAATGTTTGCATGTTAAAATTTGCAAGATTAAAAGATAAGAAAGAATATATTATCTCCAGCCTACTAGAGGAAAAAATAATGGAATGAGAAAAAAATATTCCAAGAGAAAGCAAGAAAGGAAAAGAAAAAAAAAAAGGTATAATAAAAAAAAAAAAGCACAAAGAATGGCTGAAAATAAGTCCAAATGTTACTAATTATAATAAATATAATAGTACTCAATGTTTAGTAGGATAGACGAAAATATATCAAATCCATTCTAAACAAAAGCTGGTGAGCTATATTAATGTACAAACTAGGCTTTAAGGCAAAAAATTTTACTAGAGGTAGGAGGTCACTTTATGCTGATAAAAGTTCAATTCACATGGAAGATAAAACTGTTTTTAACTTGAATGAATCTTTTAGATCTAAATATATGTATCAAAAACTGGTAACTTCAAGGAGAAAACAAATTTATCATAGAAGAAGATTTTGAGGTACATTATAGTAGAACTCAGGCAGACACAAAACAAAATTAAGAACAGCATCACTTAGAATCTTGCTCTGAAGGGCAGTATACTGCATTCAGGCCTGATTCGCAGCTAGTACACATTGGTTCAGCTGTACCAGTTATTAAAATATTGATATATGTCCATAGTGGATGAATAGTTACTGCCCCAAGCACATTGAGTGTCTTCCATGGAACCTCCCAGCGTAACCCATTACACAGCAGCTATAGAGTTAAGAGCTGGCACTGCAAGTTGCGGAAAAAAAGTCTTACTTGAGGGCTACAGCATCAGGGCTAATTGTTCCTTATCCCTCCCCACAACAAAA